CAATAAACGAGGGTCAGCGTCATTGCTTTCACATTTTTATCAGCAATTCCTTCAATGTTGCCCGATTCATCCATTGCACTGACAGACATAAACAATGTTTATAGCTAGAATCCGTTATGAAAAAATCATATGTTATTGCAAATTAAAAAGAACGCATAAAATTATAATTAGAAATTTTAGATTTTAGTAAACACTATTGCAGAAATTAAAAAGTCATATTGGTAAATGTAGTCAAGCTCATAAAATATTAATCAAGTTTCTATTTATCGAAATTCTCAAATATTGTTTTAATTCATATTTTAGGAGTATAGATTATTAAAAAATATATATTTTGCTAACATAAAATAGCCAATCTTGTGACATCATCTGAAGCATTTACTATGAAGCAAAACCAGAACATTATTCACTGAAAATGTAAGTTGTCGCAAATGCATTTGCTTTTACTTTTTACTGTAATAGTCCAGGCGATAGTGCAGTAAAAGTAGGCTTTGGCGTTTGTGTTTGAAGAATAGGAATCTGAGTTTGCCTATTCCAAAGAACCATTGCTAACTAAATTCAGGGGAACAACAAACATGCAAAAAGAACGAAATTCACCCGTTTCGACATATTTTTCCTTGTAACATTGAAATTATATAACATTGAAAGGGAATCGACAATCGATTGCAAAAAAATATTCGTATTTCTCTCATTTTGCTATATCAAATTAAAAAAAATCGTCTTGATAACTGCTACCATTCTCGAAATTAGTCACCTTTTATCGCGCGTACGCATTTTGAAATCCATGCGCCGCGCGGCAGCGCAGCTATTCTCAGTTATCCCCACTCTCGCTTTGCCGAGGAATTACAGTGACCACGGTACCTTTCTTGATTTTTCTTTCATTAAGTTTTTATCTGCCGAAAATGCAATAAACGGATATTGAAAGTACTTATAGTTAGCGATAAAAACATTTTTTTTCTCGACTTCACGATTGCGTAAGCATAATAGTACAGTCATTGAAGCTGAAAATCATCTGTAACCTCCGAATTCTTTGAAACTGCATGGATTTGCATAAAAATTTAGAATAAGGCTCATCTTAGGCTCAAGTTCAAAAGTGATATAAGCCCGATTGACGCTTTTTGTTTTTTAGTGGTAAAAACTACCCCTAAGTGAAAAAATTTGAAAAAATTAAGTTTTAAGCATTTTATTGATAAAAATCTTGTTCAAACACAAAGATTAAATAATGTTCCATGTTCTCGAACATGTTTTATAATATATTTGATCTTTTCGACCCTTTATTTAACCCTTAAAAGCTTAATGCAAAAATTAATGATAAAAAATTACTTCTTAAAGATTTTGAATGATTACATCGTGCAATTATTTAAAATAGAAGTTACCTTATAGCTAATAAAAGAATTTTTCCCTTTCAACACCTAAAAACCACCCCTGTATTGACAAAAATGATAAAAAATTACTTTATAAAAGCTTGGAATGTTTTAACGGTGCAATTATTTAAAATAAAAATTCCCTTATATTGTTTATGAAAGAATATTTTACTTTTGCCATTTTCAACTCTTACAAACTACCCNAAGGAGAGGAGGGGAGTTCGATATCAGATTTTTTGTATCTATAACCTTTTCAGCTGTACCCTATATAGGCCAGGAAATATAGAGTTGGACGCGATTTTTTATTTCAGCAAGCTGAATTTATCACTATAGATGCTTAATATTATGTACAATAACATATTAGTTTCCACAGGCATAAAAATAGAGGGAAGATTGTTTACAGGCTGGTTAATTGGATAATTAATATGAAAAGAAAAGAGCTGTAAGTTAAAAAAAAATCGTCAAGATTCGTTGAAAAACAACGGAGTTGCAGACAGTCAAATATATTATTTACGGCAGGACTATGAATATTATCGTCATTTTCTTCGGACTTGCTGTCGTTCGCTTCCCCCAACCTTCCGCCGCGCCACGGCTCGCCGAAAAATCAAGCGACCCACTGACTTTTGACAATATTTCTCATGCACTTAACATACTTCTACAAATAAAATATTTTTACTGGGAAAGTACTCGGGTTGCCGGTTATGACAGTATTTTTTTTGCCGCTATCAACCTAATTTGTTAACAATAGGCCGTCGACTTTGACAGTCTGTAAGGTCTTTTGAAGACAAAAAAAATACTTTATTGTTTTCTCGTGGAAATGAACGGGAAAAAGTTATAAGCGAAAAACGTGATTTTACGTAAAAATTATACAATTAACCAACCTGTAAACAATCTTCCCCCCATTTTTATGACTGTGGAAACTAATATGTTATTGTACGTAATATTTAGCATCTATAATGATAAATTCAGCTTGCCGAAACAAAAAGTCGCGAAATGGTTTATTTCCCAGCTCTTTTGCCTGGCCTATCGAAAATCAACCACCCTCTACACTCAAACATGTAATTTTACACAATGTATCATGTACATAATATGTTCAATTCATTTACATTTTTCGTAGCCGCTAGAAGGATTTTTTTTGAAGTTGTGGTGGTGTGATACGGGCCGTGGGGCCTACCATGTTAAAATATTTTCAAGGTCATCGTACTTCCGATTATATCGGAAGTTGATACCAACTTTCTTATTTTAAATGGAACCTCCTGTATATTATTATATATTTACGATTGACCGTTTCCGAGAATGATCGAAATTTTTAAATGGAAATCCCCAATATTTTTAACAAATTCGCATTCTGCACTACAATTGAGTGTAACTTTGTTTCCCTACACCTAAACCCAGTCGTTTTCATTTTATTTACGAATAAACATTTCCCGTTTCTTAAAATTGTGTTTTCATTTCTTCGTACATTTTAGGTTGGCCCTGACAGATAAGTAACAATCAACATGACCACTGTCACAGGTTTATAATTGTCAAATTTATTTTAACAAATGTTTAAAGTGTATTCCTTCAACTTCTAAACATTTTTCACACCTTGTTGGTCATAGCTTCTATCACCGGATTCTATTTAGAAGTTGAAGGAAGACATTTTGAACATTTATTGAAATAAAGAATATAGCAGTATACGTTAACTTTGCGAAAAACATTTATAAAACTTAAAATTATTTCCTTTTTTCACACTATAGTCCAGGCAAGTTAGACCAAAATCACCCAGAATACGGAAATTTTTTTCTGATGAACCAATCGAGTTGCGGTTTTCGGCATTGTCTTCGGAAAAATATAAGGAAAAAAGTCTATCTATTACACTTTGGGGCTGGATCGAAACTGCATTGCGGGTGCATAAACTGCATCTTGGAGTGCATCAATTTTTCCGAATATTTTAAAAATTGACTAAAAGTTGTAGAAATTTGTGTGCACTGGTTTTCGGGGTCGGAGATTCCGAATCTGACCCTGAAAAATATGCCCGACGGCCCTGGGGCCCCCCAGGTGCGCTAGCGGGGGCCTTCTGTAAAACATCAAATAGCTGAGTAATTGCCTTCTAAATCCCCACGCGGGGGTTTTTGGGGTCAGGGATTTCGATTCTGACACTGAAAAGTATGCCCGACCAACCTGGGACCACCCAGGGGGCAAGGGGGGTCTTCTGTAAAACATCGAATAGCTGAGTAATTGCCTTCTAAATTTCCACTTGGGGGTTTTTGGGGTCGGGGATTTCGATTCTAACACTGAAAAGTATGCCCGACGCACCTGAGCCTTTCCAGGGGGGCAAGGAGGGCCTTCTGTAAAACATCGAATAGCTGAGTAATTGCCTTCTAAATTTCTACTCGGGGGTTTTCGGGGTCGGGGATTCCGAATCTGACACTGTAAAATATCCATTAATCTTAGCTTGTCTATCACTGAGAAAAATTGTCGTAGAGTTGGAGAAACCCTGGACAATCCGTTCCCAAGAGACACATTTCGTTAAATCAAAGAAATATTCCTTAAAATTGAAGAATATTTCATGGATCATGGATTTTCAAAAGAATCTCTTGGGCCCGTGCAACTGCGGATAATGCATAACAATTAGGCGACAAAATCCGATTATCGACAATGCAGATCTTGTGGGTGCAGGAAGCATGGAATTACATGCACAGTTGCATGTACAAATTGTTTTGGAACCAACTGTTCCAATCCTGAAATAGTCGAAAATGTAATAGATGATAGTGATGGAGACAGTGATGACAGTACTGATGATGAAAATTGTGATTGATAGTGAATAAAGTGTTAGATAAACATATGATAGTAGTTGTCTCACTAATTGCCTTGCAAATAAAAAGAAAATTGGTTCTCAGAATAAAGGGGATTCTTTTCTACTCATTAATTTCTTGTTAGTTTTTCTTACCCTTCTTTTCTAATCTCTGTAAATTTAGTGTGTTACAATGTAAAGATGAGCCTGCAAGATCATGGCTGGTAAGCAGGTGGAGCAGTTTTATTGCAAAAATCTGATGTGCCTTTCGATGTTTTCCAGAAAGCCCACCTCACGGTCGTCGGGCATACTTTTCAGTGTCAGAATCGGAATCCCCGACCCCAAAAACCCCCGAGTGGAAATTTAGAAGGCAATTACTCAGCTATTCGATGTTTTCCAGAAGGTCCCCCCCTTGCCCCCCTGTGGGGCCCCAGGGCTGTCGGGCATATTTTTCAGGGCCAGATTCGGAACCTCCGACCCCAAAAACCCGTGCACACAAATTTCTACAACTTTTAGTCAATTTTTACCATTTTTAAAATATTCGGAAAAATTGATGCACTCCAAGATGCAATTTATGCACCCGCAATGCAGTTTCGATCCAGCCCCAAAGTGTAATAGATAGACTTTTTTCCTGATATTTTTCCGAAGACAATGCCGAAAACCGCAACTTGATCGGTTCATCAGAAAAATATTCTGATTTATTGTCTAACTTGCCTGGTCTACTACGACAATTATTCTGTTTGCAATTAATTTTTAATGGTTTGACACAACGGAACTATTCGCGTCAGAGTCTAACTAATGGCATTCTTATGCTAATTATAGCCGCGGGAGGTGGGCCTTTGTGACAAAGAGCAAGAACTCACCAGTGAGAGTCTCCTGGCTTCGTGTAGAAGGCTTAGGTTGGAGTGCGCGCTGGGCGCCACTCGTACCTTCCTGGGATGCCAGTTTGGATAGCAACACTTTTCACTGAGCCTGAAAAAAAAAAACAGCACATTCAAATGGTACTTTAACACGCAGAATACAAACAAATAAATGATATTTCCATTCAGGAGGTACTGGGTATTTAATTTAATATTCCTTGTTGACGACAAAAACGAGAAGAGAACGAATTACATTAAAAATTAAATTGAATTGTTTGACGATTGGCTACAGACTTTCTGGCGAGAGCAATTTGTTGATGTTATGCTATCGTTAGCTACACGAAGAAAACTGTGTTGTATTTCTAATAAAAGCCCTATATCTAACCGTTATACAAGGTGGTCCCGAGGTAATGACCCAAAATTCGTGGGTAGATTCCCGCAGCAAAAATACTGCGATTTAGCCGAACTTACCTTAGTCCAAAAGTTGATAGTTAAAGAGATACAGGGTGTTAAATGTAAAATATTTGTCGGCATCACCCTTTTAACCGCTTATGAATTCGTAGCCACTCGAAGAACTGTCACCGTCGATGGAATGTTGAGGGCTTGCTTTTGTTTATGTTACAGAAATATTAGAGTACCAAATTGTTATCTCTTCAGGGTTAAGTTTTAGCCTGTGTGTGAAAGACCATCATTATCTAACTTTTGTAAATACTTCCTTATATGGTCATGTTTGGTAAAAAGTAAAGTGATAGGGTAGAGGAATGCACTGGGTAACGCCCCTCTGTGAACGGAACAAAACTGAAAGCCCTGGAAGCAACTGCATCATTCAATTTGATGAAACAATCATAGCTGTGTGGCTTTTATTATCATTATTATTGTTTTGATAGAAAAGTGGTGAACAGGTTGCTAGGATTGACAGTAGCGGACCGTTAGTTCCTATTTTATAACTTGTATAACAGCTCCCGTACTTTAGTGTTTGAACTTGTAATAAATAGCGTCACCCGTTTATTATTTCGATGGAGACAATGGAGCAAACTAATTCCCATGTGTCTCCGACATATTATTTCAGTTTATTTTCATTTATTTCTTAATAAATGCAAATATCTACATAAAATTTTTGGATTTGGAGTTCTTTGGGTAGAGGAATCGAAATTTGTTCACATTTTGGTTATAGTTCATAGAGGGCGCCAGCTGCCGTAGGTTGAATGTGTTGAAAACGACATAACTTTTTGTGCTTTAAGGTATCTCATCTTTGGTATCAAATTCTTATTTTCCAACTGTTTACACAAAAAAGGTAGACTTTATGAAAATAGCTGTCTCGCACTGTTTCCGAGATATTTGGCTTTGAAACTGCCAATGCTAATAGTTGAAATAATTAAAATAATTTAGAAATGTTAAAAACCAGGGTTTATTTAGAACTGAAAATTATAATGAACAGCTGTTCTTCTCAGGTGTTTATAGTTTCTCCATAAACAACCGAGTTCATGTAACCCCAAAAGGTGCGCCATCTAATTGCATTCGCATTTTTCTCAATATATTTAAAGATACGTCATCAAAAAGAACCCAAACCAATTCAATAAAGACCTGTATGAAGACACGTGGATACATCTTGTAAAAAAAAAATCGATAAAAAAATAAACGGCACAAATATCTCCAATACCGTTAGAGATAGGTATAGGGAACCTATACAGAGTTTGAAAGAGTTTTAAATTTCCTAACTCCCATAGTAAAAATATACTGAGTGTCCCATTTAAAATAAGCAAGTTATTGCTGTTTAAAGTTGAGAGAAGTATTCAGCAGTTTTTTGAACAGCTTACTATACTAAGTGACGACATATATAACAATTTATAACTTCAAGGATCTAAAATAGACCCTCCAAAGCTGCTTCCTTAAAATTATTTTTTATTGCTTATATTAAATCTCCACGCTAAGCCTGCATTTTCACTAAAATTGAAATATCTCGCAAACTGTAAGTCCTAGGTATGCAGAACCTTTAATAAAGTTCACCTATTTTTTTTACGGTGCTTTCAAAAATGCAGTAAAATACAGGGCGTTCCATTTAAAAATACATAACTTCGATATGGTACGCTTTTCCTGAACACCCTGTATATTTTAAAATATTTTTAAAATGTAGCCGTAATCAACCTAAACAGGTTTCTGTAGCATTTGCCGTTTGGTTCCTAGCGATCGAGGCGTTACTGGTGGCCCACCCTGTATAATTATAAATTTAGCGCAATAAAATGGAAGATTTTGGCTGTAACAACAACCACATTTTTAGAAAGTTTTAAATAGTGGATTATACAGGGTGGTCCAAAATGACCAGAGCCACCGATAACTGTTTAGGATTGAGACCTACTAAAAAACGTTTCAGATAAAAACTGTAGAATGTCAAATCGCCAATAAGCTGGTGACCTTAAATTTGACCTTGACCTTCTGTTTCAAGGTCAAACAAAGGTCAACTTGAAAATATTAAATAAAATAGATCAATTCAAATTCATTTTCTCTCTTTAAATGTAGATATCAAAGTTGTCAGAAAAGCATAAAAATAAAGATTTTTCAATAGCACATTATTATTTCCTAATCATCAATATTATTCTTTAATCATACTCGAAAGCTCATGAAATATTTTGTATCTTACAAAAAAAACGTACAAAAAATCAATTGTGGAGATTTACCTCTCTGCGAAACATGTTAGTAGGTACCTTATTTAGGACATTTTTCAATTTTATTGCCGACGAATGATGTCATTCGTACCAGTCAGATCAGGAATCCACTGAATCGTTTCAAGTTCTATAGCAGTTTGGGTAGGATCAGGAAGTAGCTAATTTTAATTGTTAAAAAGAGAAAAATTTATATCACAAAGTAAAGAAGGCAAGCCCTTTGTGATACAAAAATAGATTATGTTAGATATTTTAAACGCGAATATATACAGTTTTATTTTACGCAAAATCCGAGGGGCTGGACACTCACCAAAATATTGTATATACAGGGTGTGCCATTTAACACTCCCGCTACCAGTATTTCCGAAATGAAGAATTTATTTTAGTTTCGGAAATTGGGGTTGTTAGGTCCCTCGAATAGCTTCAAATTGGAGTTAGAATTATTAGTTCAAATCTTTCTGTATAGATGGCGTGGCGATACTAAAAAATTTGTTGTTCCCTGGAACGTGGAAATACAGTCCATCTGAAAGATCGTTAAATTTTGAGTAATTTTTGTAATATAAGGTTTTTCCCTATTTTTACTTGTTTTCGAGATATATCGACTGCATTTCCACGTTCCCGGGATGAACAAATTTTTTAGTATCGCCACGCCATCTATACAGAACGATTTGAACTACAATTTGAAGCTATTCGAGGGACCTAACAACCACAGTTTGGGGAACTAAAATAAATTTCTTCATTTCGGAGATATTGGCAGTGGGAGTGTTAAATGATATACCCTGTATATTCAAACTTGCAATTATAATTAACTAGTATTTATGTGTTTAAAGTTGTAATTACAAGTATTTATGTTCAGGTATCTATACATAGGTCTCCGTCATAAAAATCTTAGTTCTATCAATGTTAATACAAAATCTGCAATGGTATTAAAATTTTTGTAGAACTGATCCTAAAATTGTTTCTGAATTTATTTTTAAAAACTGAGTAAAGCTTTATTTAAATCTTTCGACAAAGATATATTTATTTATTCATTTTAGAGATAACCACAGACATTTTTAAATCTTTCATAAGTATCACCTATATTGTTTTTATCTATAGAATACGTAACCAAAACTGTGGAGTTAAATTGGCAGAATTAGTTAATTCTACATCACAATTTTATAAAAAAAAAAATCATGTATTGACGTGTGTCCACAACATATACGTTTGTTTAGATACAGGGTGTTCAAAATTAATAAGAAATCCAGTTTATTCGAAATGGAAAATAAATACAATTGTCATTTTAACCATTCGTTTTATAAGCTACGCTATCAGAGAAGTCGAAGTAAGGTCTGTCCCTTGTCCACAAATTTTGACGTTTGTAGGCCGTCAGGATCCAGGAGCATTGCGATCCACATCCTCGAATCTAACAAACTATGCAACTATCGTTAATATTTATTACATTTATTACTTTTATTAACTATTATTTACGCAACAAATTATTTCTTTCTGTGATAAACTACCCCTCGATCGTCCTAATGAAGAAATGTTATACTACTTTCTTCTCTACATTCACTGGGTGAATGTTTTTAAACAATTTATTTAAACTGTATTTAAAAATATTGAAAAATGTATAAAATTATCTAAACGTAAATTGATTGATATGTATGTACAGGTACACCAAATTAATTTGAGTTCTGAAGGTAGGATGCGCAGTGGCAAGGTAGTGAAGTGGGGACTATGCCTTTATTTATTTCGGTTACCTGCTGCTTGCATTTCCATCTTATTTTACATCAAACGCGATCTCTTTTAGATTAGCGCATTCCAAGGCTTAAGTTAAATTTGTTCAGTCACATTTATCGGGTAATTAATTGTATATCGATCATATTTACGTGGACTGTTATGTATCTAAACGTATTTTTTAAATACCTACTGTTCACAAATTTGTGCACCTATGTACGGAATGACCTACCTCTCACCAAAATCAGAATTCTAACGGATCTCTTAGTGAATGAAATATTACAGTAGTTACGCTTTCATATTATTCAGGTTTATTGTAAATAAAATTTCAATTACAATAAAGAAGCCATAAAAATTTAACGTCTGTGGTCAGTCCTTAAGTACTTAGATTTTATGTCACAACAATTTTAATAGAATTTGCATTACATCAAAATTTATTCTCTACATACTACATGACAAATTTTTCACAAATTGATCCGTTAGATTCTATAATGCTACTTTTATTTTGCCACCTCAGATGGCTGACCCTAAATGAAATTAATTACTTTTTTTGCTTCATTTTTGCGGAATATGTCTAATAATTGTGATGACCAAATTAATTTTTATGACAATAATAGATGTGATATTAATCTATCTTTCAAATTTGCTTTGGCTACTGTTGATGAGATTCATACCATTCTTAATAGTATCAAAACGGATGCATTTGGTGTTGATAATATATCTCCCACTATGT